GAATCAAAGGAGGGGCAATAACTCCTGAAAAGAAGAACCTAAAGAATGTATAATTATTTTAAAATTTTGTGATCGAGAACAAAATTTGTGTTTTACTCCCCCTAGACAATTTTTGCCTTTCTCATTTGCACTCAATTTTAGAGTTGATTACAATAATTTTTCTATTTACTTATTATACAAGTATTACATGTTTATTCTGGAATTATTGCAGAAAAGTGTAAAGAAGGACATAGAAATATGTAATATTCTGCCACCCAGAGTTGGCTATTGCTAATATTTTTCTCTTTGTTCTTAGGTAAACAAGAACATTAAGAAATTGGCGCTAGAGTAATCGGGGAGATCACTTTATAAGTTATATAAGTGTTTAATTATTATACTGTATTCTTGAAACTAATATAAAATAATAAGAAAAAAGAAATTTGCAACAAATTATACAATATATTTTGAAGTCTTTTTAAAATTAATATATAATTAGCTTATATACACAAATTTTAACCTCTATCTGCAAAAATAGCATATTATTATGCAAAAAGTTACAATATTCTTTTAGTCTCACTATTTTGTGACTTTCAGTGCTGTTTTGATTTAGGTTTTTTTTTTTTTGTTTGTTTGTTTGTTTTCATTCTTTCTTTTTGCAGAAAAGATTTAAGATAATTTCCACATGGGTATAATATATAGAGGAAAGCAAACCTCTGAAATGTACGAGATAGTAAATGGTTAAAAGCTTCGGTTCTGCTCCCTGTTGCTAATTTTCAAGTCCTTAAATGAGATAACTTGGTCTACCTCTTAGCACAGTGCTTGAGTCTAAATAGTAAATGCTGAATAGATCTTAGCTTTCCGTGATTTGAGCTATTTGTTACTGTTTTGTTTTTTTCCTCCTAAAAAAGAATCCATTTTTCCTGAGGATTTTCAGTTAGATTTTCCAAAATGGGAATAAACTACTGCTTTAGGAGTTACATATAAAATATCGTAGTGAATTGGAAGGGGAAATAAAACATACTGTATTTTATAATAAATTTATATATAATTATTATTTTATATTGCTGATATCACCTAATAGTCCAATATTTCGTTCAGTCATAATGTTTAATGGGAACATATTTTAAAATAAGGTGTGCTACAGAGCCATAAATACAATTTATAGTTCTTTCTGTGGTACTTTTACTCTAAGCCTTTCAAGCAAGCATTCAGCAAGTATAAAATGAGCTGTTTTAATGAATGAGCAATTTGAGGTATCAACTAATGAAGTCTGACTTTTACCCTGAATGTGGAAGACGTGAGAATGACCGAATCATTGCCGATAATGTGCATTGCTCTATGCTTGACAGAGTCTTTGGAATTTGTTTCAGCCACATCAAGACAGGTGTATAAATAGGGCCAGTAATGTGAAATCTGTACTGTGGGCTCTGAACAATGGAATTTTTTAGTGCAGTGCCGTCCAATAGAAACAATGTGAGTCACATATGTGACTTCTTATTTTCTAGTAGTCACATTAAAAAAGTTAAAAGAAATAGGTGAGATTAATTTTAGTAATATATTTTCCTTTAACTCAAGATGTCGAAAGCATTAGCACCAATAAAAAGTATTAATGAGATATTTTACATTCTTTCTCATTCACAGTCTTAGAAATCCCGCACGGGTTTTACATTCACTGCACATCTCAGTTGCGACTAGCCACATTTCAAGTGCTCAATCACCACGCTTACCTCATTGCTACCATACTGGACAGTGCAGCTCCAGTCATTCCCTCTTTGAAGGCACCAGAGGGCAGCAGTGTGGTGTAGAGGAAAAAAGACAAAAGGCTAACTTGGAATCATAATATATGTCTGTTCCTAGCTCTGACATTTGATATTGACGTGACTGTGAGCAAGTGATTTAGTTTCTCTCGGTCTCAGATTCCTACTTTCTATAATGGAACTCGTTAATAACTGCCATACTTCTCATAGGAGGCTGTGGGAAAGATTAAATAAGATATTGTATGTGAAAGTGCTCTGTTAGATCATAAAGCACCGGACACATGTAAGGCATTAATACCCCTTTTATTGTACATTTACTCTCATGACTTGCCCAAGGCCACATTCCAAGTTGGTAGGAGAATCAAGGATAGAATCTGGGGCTTCTGACTTCTAGCCATCTGCTTCAACTAAAGGCTGCTCATACCAAGCTGGCTTAAAAACGAAAAACCAAAAAAAAAAAACCCTCCCTCCCTCCAAAAAATGCAAATCCTTTTAATTTAAAAAAAAAAAAGAGGAAGGAAGAGAGTGGCAATAAGAAGTAAATTCCATATTAAATAGCTGGGTCTTCTTGGCCATTGTCATAATGTTCTGCAGTAAAGTTATACATACAGGACGTTTATATACCTATATATTAGAATTACAACCATTAAAGATTAGACTTTATTGCTGTCATATAATATAAACCCCCACGTTCTTCAAACTTTCAAACAACTTCTAAATTGAACTGTGGTTTCCCCACTCTATTTATCTCCGAAATATGGTACAACCACAAGAAAGCCCTTCTCTACTGGGTTTGATTAATAAAGCAGATATGGATCAATTCAGCAGGTTTTCCATGGATTATTTTTGGTTACAGATGTAGCTCATTAATTCTCATGTGTGAGATACTACCTCTCTAGTGTGAATCCAAGAGACACATTAATCTCTGAACAGAAAGTGGGAATAATTCAGTTCAATCTATATTTATTTGTGCTTGCTGTGTATAAGGCACATTAGGAATTTTAATGAGTAAAAGGAGTTTGTTTCTATGTTAAGTGTCACTTAGAGATATGTTATTTAACTTGAGGAAAATATAAAATATGCCTAACAAAATGGCTATGTTCTATGTATGACTCAGGAATCTATATTTTTAGAAGGTAAAAAGATGATCAGAAAGGAAATTCCAGATTACCCAAAAATAATTTAAAAAGTCACATCTTTTACTTTTAGAGAGCACACAGAGGATGGGTTATCATGATCTATTTCCATTTTCCCTAATTGTAACCTTATCATGGTTTTCATATTAAATTTTTTAGGTCATTTTTAATTTTTGTTTCAAATTAATTTCTTCTAGAACTTAAAAATCACATAAAGTATTTAGAATTTTATACTATGTGAAATTAAGTACAAGCCAAATTCATTTTCACTGAGAAGACATACATTCAAAAAGTTCTTTATTATTTTTTCAGTCAAAATCCTTTCTTAAAAATGACTTTCATTTGGTTATTTTTATTGGAAAACTATCATGTATAAGCTTTGGGCCTGCCTAAATTGATGACCATGTTGAATAAATGTAATTTTTATTTTTGTTTGCTGAATCATCGCTGTTGACCATTGAATAAAATAGTTTATTGAATAACCTTTACATTTTCATGCTTTTGCACCCTAGTTTAAAAACAAAGCTTAATTTTCTTAAAGTCTAATAAATGTATTTTTGATATTTTCACATAACTTTACAAGCAATTCCTCTCCTCTGCCCTATAATAACCACCTTCTGCATTTTTATGATTTAGTTTAACACTATTATTATAATTTTTTACTAGGTGAGCCCATCAATGCCCTTGGAAACAAGATTTTGCTACAAAAAAATCCAGAAGCTGAGCCTGCTATTGGTTGCAACAATTATAAAGTTTCTCTGGATTGTATTCAGAACCCTACGCTGACATTATGACTAACCGAATTCATGACTTCTGCATCAGCTTCTCTAAAATATGTGATGGGCTTGAGTCCTATAACCTGTTGCTTAAATGAGCATATATTTTTTTATTCAATGGTTATGTGTTATAAATATTTCATTTGATTAACATCTGGCCTTAATGAAATCCAGCCAAAATAATTTACCTGTAGTAAAAATATGATATCTTAGGAAAATTATTAACATATTTGAATTGCTCCAGGAATTGAGAAAGAATTCATTTTAGACCGGATGTGCTCATGTGACATTAAGTGCAGGACTAGATGCTGAGCTTTTATTTTGTTGCCGTTCCAGTGCACTTCCGGCAAGAACAAAAAATCTGAGGAATCTTAACTATTCATTCTTTAAATTACTAAATACAATTATATAGACTAAAAAAAGCCATTGTACTACTAAATATTAGGAAATATTGAATTGTGTGTCCAAAAGTCACACTTAGAACCAGGCAATAGTAATAAGCATAGAGTGGCTGTGGATACTATGAGATAATGTCTACTTGTCAGAAATGGATGGTATTTTCCATCAAAGTTTGAAAGTTAATGATGTATTTTATATTTTAATTGCTTCTAATGATAGGTCAATTAAGGAAAAAAGATTCTATGGATATATTCAATATCATATGTGAATAAAACTGTATTTATTATATCATGCTCTGTTTCATTCTTCCTAAATTGTCTTTAGAAAAATTTAGGATATGTCACTTGAGTCATCTGAAAGGAATCATTTTTTTCATTACAACTCATAACTTAAAACTATAAAATATCAGCCAGAAAAAAATTGACCCAATTAGGAGAAATTTGATAATGGTAGAAAAGCACATACAGATATGACTAGGAGATGATAAGATTATTTTAATTTTCCCATTTGCACTGGAATTATTTATTTTGCAAATCTCCAGATCTTTTATTACTTAAAACCCCCTGCTGAATCATGAAAAGAAGCTTAAGTTAGCAATTTTCCTCTGCAAAAATCTAGCTGCTAGCATCTGGTGAACACTTGGATAACCTAGTCAGGTCCTATGGAAACGATTATTTTAAGACTATTCAACATGCCTAGAGTTAAAACACCAGAAGCACACTCTGCACATGCATTTTACTATCTAGGATTTTAGAACCTGGCGTTAGTAGCAATGGTCTAACGGTTTTGCAGTGGTGGAGATGGGGATAGGAGATAGGACATGCAGGCAGGCCGGATACCCGAGTGTCAGCCAACCGACCCTGTGCTGCCAACAGTGATCTCTGCGGCCTCCTCCCCTGTGGACCACCAGTGGCCAGGCCACTATGCCGCCCTCCATAGTTTCTCGCACTTACATTTAGACTTGGCTGCCTCTGGGATCAGGACTAGTGTCCTCGCTTGTGCCTTTGTGCTTTCCTGTGGCACGCTTAAGGCTGGTTTTTGTCTCTTCACCCTATACTCCGCTTCCAGAACACCGTCTGAAGTAGAAAAAAAAGGATACATTTACTCAGAAAGACAACAAGTAGCTGAATTGTTATCAAAGTGTATTGGTTTGGATCATAGGAGAAATTACATAATAGGAATATATTAATACACATCAGAAAAATTGCTATTATTTGCCAAAATTTAAATGCATATTTAGGAGATATTAGAAATCTTTGTATGATGATTAGGAGAGAGAATATTTTTTCGGGGGTGTGTAGGGGGATTCTATACATGTAGATATGCACTTATTTATTTTTACACATATACTATATGTAGTTTTTGTTCAAATAAACAATTTATTATGTATCTTTATTGCTTTTCATGGCTATATTATGTGCTAAGTTCTCATTAATTTAATTCCCATTAGTACAGATTTAAAATAATTTAGGAAGGATTTGGGCATTTGCTACAGAGGAAGCAAATTTGTCAGTAAGTTATACTTCAGGGAGAAAAGTTAGGTTTATTTTTAAAAAGTGAACTCTTCCAGCAACACTTTTTCCACCCAATCTGTATACAACAGTATTTGAGCTAGAAATTATTTTTAGTTATTTATCAAATCTGTTAGGGCTTTAATTTGGCAATACTTACAGGTTTTTGTTTGGGCTTTTGTGCAATTTAGTTGAAGACACTTTAGGAATCATCTATAATGTAGACTTTTTAAAATCGTATTGGACTTCTTTCCACTTAAACTGAGTTTTGGAAATTTAACTCTGTTTTGGATAATAGATACTCTATTTTGTTTTGATACAGTCCTTAAAGACTTGTTTAGGAAATATTTTCTACATTTGTTGTTCAAAAAAGATTTAGATAGACAAAAAGATTCGAAAGCTGGGATTGGTCGATTAGGAAATAATTGCTGAATTGGGTATCCAATATAGAATTTCTGCAATGTGATTTAAATGATATGTTCTAGAGCAGTACTATTCAGTAAAACTTCCTGTGATAATGAAAATCTTCTATGTTTGCACTGTATATAGCCATTAGTCATGTATGGCTATTGAGCGCTTGAAATGTGGCTAATACAAATGTGGAGATGAATTTTTAGTTTTGTTTAATTTTAATTAATTTGAATTTAAATAACTGCTTGTGGCTAGTGGCTACCTTATTGGAAAGTACAGTTTAAGAGTTTATCTGTATTCTGTATTCAACATAAAATAAAGAAATACTTGAATATCTTCTAGTTACTGAATGTCTATAAAACATGAGTGTCCCCAAAACACAAGGCCTAGGGCTCTGTGTCATGGCCATCCATAGGGGATCCCAAAGGATGGGAACAGCAGTATTCTGAACTTTGGCTCAACCTGTGCATTTTCAGATGTAAATACAGTTTGGGTCAGCCATGGGTGACCTGAGAACTTTTTGTTTCTGGAAAGCCATGAGATCTCAAATACATTCTAGTAATAAAGTTCAGTGATGGTAAATGGACTCAGGGCTTGAATTTTCCATTCCATTTCTCGTGTGGTGTAACTGGCAGGTAATAGAGATAGATACGAAGGAGATACTCCACACACATAGCTGCCTCCATGAAAAAGAAACCCTCCAGATTCAGACTGGGTAGCAGAAAAAGGCTGATCAATACTTTGGAACCTTTTCCCAAATCATTCTTCAATAAATATTGATTGACAGCTACTATGTGCAAGACACAATCCTTAGTGCTGGAGATAAAATGTTGAAAAAACAAAAAAATAGAAACAGCTCCTGCCCTCATGATGATTAATTGCATTAGACAATAAGATTTTTTTTCCAATATCTTCTTCCAAAATTCATTTTTTCCCTTGAATATGGTGAAAATAAAGCCCCAGCCCCTGGCACACCCAGGGTATGGTCTGTGGTTCCACCTGGGGTGCGAAACCAGGACCTTCTGCATGTAAAGCAGACGTGCTAACCGCTACACTATGAAGCCACCTCTGTCTTTTTCTTTCACAGAACAAATGTATAATTAAATGTATGGTTCAATCTGCATTTTTAGATAAATTTTCAAATGTGTCATTGATGGAAATTTAAAGATGAAAAGGATTAAGAATTAAATTAAATGAATGAAACCACAATACCTAGTACTTAAAGTATGTAAAGACCATAAAATCTGTCTCCAGACACATTAATTGATAATGTCCTTGATTTTCTAGATAGACATTTTGAAAATAATTTTTAAAAACTAACTACGAAGCAAGGAAGAAACCACAGAGAAAAAAGAGATACATTTATTTATATAAATACATAAGAACCATTTGCATATAAAAATTATGAACAAAATTAAAAAGCGAAGAGTTTGGTTTATTCTTTAAAAAATTTATACTCTATGTAGGTTTTAAAATGTGACCCCAAATTCTTTGATCCTCCTCTGTGTTCTCTCCCATTGAATCTGGGAGGCCTTGTGACTGCTTTCACCAGTAGGACACAGTGGAGATGGCACTATATAACTTCTGATGCTAGGTCATAAAAGAGTGTGAAGGTGCTGCCTTATGTGCTGGAACACTGCCTTTTGCAGTCCTGAGCCTTCAAGTAACACATCTGAATTTCCTAAAACACTGTAGATGCTCTAGTCAGCAATGCTAACAGAGCTCGGCTTTCTTTCTCTTTCTGCCAGGGCACTAAACATGTGAGTAAAGCCATTTGGGACCCTGTAGATCAGCCAGGTGAGTAACCCATAAGAGCAGGAAAAACTCCCAGCCGAGACCCATAAAATTGTGAGATGAAATATGTGTTGCTTTAAACCACTAAATTTCGAGGTTTATTATGCAGCAGTAGAAAACTGGTTGCATACCCTCTTGTATGTATATTTCACAATAAAAAATTTAAAAATTAAGTGTTAAAGACACTCTGAGAAATTATTTGCCAGAATTGACAAAGACAGTCTCAGTATTCTTTCTATATAAAGAGATCTTACAAATCATTGAGAAAAAACTACTAATACCATGTAGAAAAATGGGAAATTAAATGAACATAAAATTTACAAAAGAAAAATAAAAAGGCTAATAACCATGAAAAAAAGTTCAAATTTATCTGTAAGTAAAAGAAATGTGAACTAAATGAAAATAACTAAAAATTAAAATTTTGGTTATTAAATTGGCAAAGATAAAAATAATATTTAATGTTGGTTTGAGTTAAGTGGGAGTATAAATGACACAAAATTTTTGGAAAATAACTTAATATTGTGTATCTAGAGCTTTTAAAATATCATATTCTTTGACCTTGCTAGGAATCTAGAAATTCAGGTAAGAAAGTAATAATAGAATTGAAGTAAAAAATAAAATGCTTATTATCATTCTATTTATGAGTAAAAATATAGAAACAATCTAAATGTCAATCAATACAGTTAAATACATTATGTATTTCATATTACAGAATATTATTTTATTATTTAGAATACAATTTTGAAGATATTTTATTTGCTAATCCTGACCTGGGGACACAATAGTAGAGCAGAAAAAACTGGTATATTATGTTCACATAGACCAAGCTTTGAATCCTGGATTTGCCACTTACTTTTGCTGGATATTTGCAAATATGATTTATACCTCTGAGTTTCAATTTTTATATAAGGAAAATGGGGCTAAATACCTATTCCGTTGGGTATAGTGATAATTAAATGAAATTATCTGTCTGCTGCCTGTCTGTCTGCATAATAGTTCCTCAGTAAGTAGTATCTCTTTTCTTACAATCTAAAAATACTATCTGAGCTCCATATCCAAATTCACTGACAGTTCTTCCATTCTGTCTTCCTCTATATACATACCCCTTTCCACCATAGTCCAGTCTCTACACCAATAGCCAGAGATATTAAAAATGAAAATGGTCTACAGCCATGCTACTCTGAACAAGCTCGATCCCATCTGATCTTGGAAGCTAAGCAGGGTTGGGCCTAGTTAGTACTTGGATGGGAGACCACCTAGGTGCTGCAGGCATACAAAAAAAAAAAAAAAAAAGGGATTGTAAGCTGAAAAGATCCTTGCAATTTGTGAGGCCAACCAAGAGTTGCCTTGCCAAAAAAAAAAAAGAAAAAAGAAAATGAGTGAGTGAAGTTTCTTGCTTTTATAACTTTTCAATGGTTCCAAATGCATTAAAAACACATCTATTCTTGCTCTACTCTCCACAAAGCAGATGTGGTAAACTTTGAAAAAGTAAATCAGATCACATCATTCTCTTGCTTAACATTCCCACCCCTCGCATCCAATAGCTCCTCATAACACTTAACAACAAACTTAAACGTTTCTTCTGGCTTCCATGCCCCATATAATTCTTACTTTGCCTGCCTCTTAATTTTGCTGCCTCTCTCCCTTGCTCTCTATTCTCCAGCCACACTGGCCTCCTTCAGGAAAACATCATGCTGATCCCCTCTTTCAGGCCTTTGCTGTTCTTCTGCCTGGAATTCTCTTCCCCCAGAAAACTGCATGGCTGGGCCCTTCACCATTTAAATATCAACTTGAATATCACTTCCTCAGAGAGGTGTTTTTGACCATCCAATCTGAAATCAACCACTCATTTTCATGAATCGCTGATTCAATTCTCTAAATTCCACAGTAGGAGTTTTATCTTTCTTACTTAATGATACATTTTATTCATTTATAGTCTGACTGGACATCAATCTTTCTTCTCTCCCTACCCCTCCTTGAGAGCAGGAAACTTATTTGTTTTGTTTTTTTTTTTGTAACATCCCTCGCAACCAGAACTAGGATTGGCACATTGTAGGTGTCCTGTAAATATTTGCTGGATGCCTTCCAAATACTTTTTGTACTTCTGAAACACAGAACTTAGCAATGAAGAAAAAAAAGCATTTGACTTCATTTTAAAAAACAGAAATGTGAATTACATGGGCATTTTTAAAAGCTTTAATGGTTCTGAGTAGAGTAAATTGCTTCAATTTTGAAAAAAGAAACACCTACGAACAAAATCACAACAGCATAAAATTATTTCAGGAGTATGATGAGAGCTCCTCTGTCAAATCAGATACTTTTGAACTATACACCACTCAGCAGGCTCCTTGCTTTGAAAT